GACCTTGGCCAAGTCCTTGATATTCTCATGGCCTCAGTTTCCCTATTACTGAGTGATATTGGGTCTTTTTTTTTCTTTCTTTCTTTCTTTTTAACAAAATGAAAGTCTCTTGCTGTACTCTAGAGGGAGGCATTCTCAGCACTCCTGGGAATGACCCTCTGAAAACTTACCCAGAATGCTTCCCTACTATTTTATTTGGTAAACGCATTCTTTGAGGCCAGAGTTGTCACTTCCATTATTGTGTCCTCCCCCACACCTGGCCTCTAGGAGGTTCTCAAAATCACTTGCTGGTGACGTAGGTGAATGCCCAGAGCTTGTGCGTCGTGTTAAATATACTTGGCGCAAGAACCACATATAGCTGTTCAGTCTTATGGGATGTTCAGGAGGCATCTCTTACCTACGGCCAACTCTTGTCTAAGATTGTTGCTGGGAAGTCAGAGTTGGATGGACTTGTACTGGGCCTTAAGTCCTCAGGGCTGATCTTGTGGGCCTCAGCTCTGTTACCTCCTCCCTCCTGACTGGTGGGAAACTGGAGACTGTCAGGGAGGCATCCACAAGCTTCTTGGCGGAATGCTAGGAGTTGGGGCTCCCAGATCATGGTCATCATGGACATTTCTCTTGGGCCCGGGTGCTTGGGATATAAATTATGGCCTAAAAGGGTGTTCTAAACCTTTGTGACTCCAAGGACCAGCAGCATCAGTATCACCTAGGAGCTTATTGGAAATGCAGAATCTCAGGTCCCCTCCCAAACTTACTAAATCAAAGTCAGTATTTTAATAAGATCCCCCCAGGGGATAAAGTTGAGAAGCTCTGCTCCTAAACTGTGGATCCTAATAGAGATTTCTTCTCTATCCTGCCCCATACGTGGTCCTGGCTTATGCCATCAAGGAGCCTGGTTCCTGCTGTCCTCTGACAAGCCCCGAGGGTATGTGTCTCACTGAGACAGACTGCCAGGGAGTGTGGGCTCTCAACTAGGCCATACTCCCTCCTACCTCCTATTGGAGATCAGCTATGGGCAGGGCAGTGTGCTAGCCTTTGTAGGATACAAGATGGCTCAGCCCAGGGTCCTGCCCAAAGGCTGCCTGTGGGCTAGTAGGAGAAACAGGCCATCTACCTCCTTGATATGCCATTGGATGAGAACTGAGAGGCGTGATGTCTTTTAGCTAGAGTAGTCATGGGGGAGGTGGCTTCTGTGCCAGTCCCTGAAGCCTAGGTAGGATTGGTTACATATGTGTGGGGAGAAGGTGGGACCGAAGAGGCCAGAAATTACAGGGTCAAGGATGGAAGCATATGGCTTCATAGGGGAAGGATAAACGGAATGGAGTTTGGAAAGGTCAAGTGGGCTCCACTGTGGTTGGCCATGGATGCCAGAGCAACAGGGCACCACAACAGGGGAGTGGTGTGCCAAGAGCCAGGTGCTAGGAAGGCAAATGTGGCAGCAGCTTAAGTGGACTAGTGTCATTTAAGCAGAACCATTTTAAAGCTTTGATGACCTATAACATGTGGATGAGAAAGGGGAAAGAAGGAAACCAGTCAGAAGGCCATGGTGGTGGTCCACCAGGCCTAACCAGGTCAGGGTGGTCTGGGTGGAGGCAGGAGGATGGGAGAAGCCAACTTGGTCTCAGAGGATCTAGAGGGTCAAAATCAACTTTGAGGTAGGAGGAACAGGCTTCAGTTCATTCCTAAGATTTTTAATATTACCTTCAGCCACTCCCTGCCCAGCACACAGACACACAGAGACTGGCCATCTGATGACCCCAGACTGTGCCAAGTCAAGGGCAGTCAGACCATGTGTGAGGGTTAAGGATCTTTACGTGCTCTGTCTCTGGTCTCAAGGGGTCTAGCAGTGAAGCAGCTCATCGTGGGTGAACCACAGCAGGCGACCAAAAGCCAAGGGCTGTGGCAGGCCCCCAAGTTCAGAGCAATCTAGCTAAACAAGAGGCCCCAACAGGTTGGGGAATTTTCAGAGGAGGTGGCTTTTGGGCTGGACCCAGAAGGCTGGCAGGACTAGGAGGAGGCTCCCAGCTCCATCCTAGGTGGGAACTGGCCAACCAGCGTGCTCAGAAGGGAGATTTGGAGCACTGCTGAGGCCCTGCTTTCCACACAGACACCCGCTTCCTCCGTAGGGCATTTTGGACATCCCTCCCAGAATTCCTCAAAACAGTGGGCCTGGTGTTCCAGGTCACCTGCCTGTACCATGCGTCAGAATCCCTGCAGTGCCTGTGGCCTCCCTGCCTTTCTTTTTCCCAGACTGTGCTTATTTATAGTGTCATTCCGGTACTTTCTAAAGCTATCTGTCTGATCCTTTTAGGGATCAATTGCAAACAGACCTTCGTATTGGGCGGCTTTTTAGTCATTTAATGCAAATCGCTGCACAGCTTTGCAGGTCAGGTTTTAATGATCTGGAATCGATCCAAGCTAAGTGGCTTTTGATCTTGCTGCAGAGTAAAGATGCCCCACAGAAGCCAGAGCGCCAGGCCACTTGCTCCCTATCAGAGCTGATGGCTTGATTCTTGCTGCATTTTTTTAGTCTGTTTCAGAGTAATTTTTTTCCTTCTTTGTGTTTGAATGTGTGTTTTTTCCCTCCTAGGTAATTTTGAATGTGGAAATCCAGAGAAGCTAAAAAGTAAATGCATTCCTGTAATGGAAGCCCAGGAATATATAGCAGTAAGTAGGCTGTAGTGTTCACACATCCCCAGGAGGTCCTGGGGCTTTTGTATTGATCTTTCAAACCCTGCATTTTTTTTCCCCCTTTTCATTTCATTTTGTGTTTGGTTTTTGGCTTTTTTGCTTTCTCCTATTTTTGTTTTTAAACAAAAATAGTTGAGTGCTAGGCTACCTTAAGAAGAAGCAGTGGGGGTGACTGGGCCCAAGGTGAGAGCTGTGAGCCAGAGCAGGCCTGCTGCATGGGTGCAGACAGCTCACTACTGACCAGCAGCTGGGCCGCTGCAGGCTGCCCCTTCTAAAATGGTCCCGTCACTTGCTCCTCTTTTGGTTTGCTTTTATTTCCTTCTCAGCAGATTAAAGGATACACATTTCACTTGTCTGTTCTCTCTCCTTATGAGTACTGTGTGGATTGTTTAGGGTCCACTGGATTTTCTGCATGGCCTTAGGATGATAGAATTTTGAGTATTGAGAGCTGGCAGAAACCTTAGTCCAATTTTCATTTCACAGATGAGGAAACTGAGGCCTAGAGAGGGGCAAAGACTTGCTCAACGCCACACAGCTAAGACCGACTGGATGCCCGGCCCCCCCAACTCCCACACTTTTTAAAAATTTTATTCAAGATGAGCTGCCTCAATTACCTAATTCTTCAGTCCTTAAGAAAACTATTCTTTTGCCTGCCTCAGACCCGCATTGTTTTCCTGTGTGTGCTTCCGCATCACCTCCTCCAGTTAGAGCCTCTTTCTTGGCTCTCATCAGCCCCAGATTTCTTTCCTGCCAGTTTGTTGTACATTGAGCAGTACAGGGCTTTGGGGCGTGTGGAGGACACAGGAGAGGGCTTCCTTAATCCAGCAGCAGAATAACATTGCTCTAGCTGCTTTGTCCAGACGCAGAACTAATCTTTTCTCATCCCCTCCCACAGAATGTGACCGGCAGCTCCTTTGCCAAGTTTGAAGCCGCACTGACCTGGATACTGAGCAGTAACAAGGACGTGGGCATCTGGTCAGTGTGGGCGGGGCATCATGAGGTTGGCAGCACAGCCGTGGGTGTCTGCGGCCACTGTGCTCACCCATCAGTTGACTCCCTCGCTCCAACAGAGGTGTCTCTGGTCTGAAGTTAGAGGGCGGATCTCCCAGCTGAGTAGTTGTGGGCTGGGCTTAAAGCTGGCTTTGGAAGGAAGAAGTGTTAGGAGCAGTTTCAAGATGAGACACAAAATCCAGATGTTAGGATATTAGCCTTGTTCCAGCTAAACCTGCGTCAAGTAACTCAGTCTGTGCCTTTTTAAAATGCACCAGCTCTGCGTGGTTTTCTGGAGAAGGCATTTTTCTACACACCCTTTCCTCGGGTGCTAGTTTTCATTTGTAGATGAAATGATTCTGTATGTTGGTTTCACTCAGTATGGAAATTGCGAAAGGAAATACTGGATTTTATTCTGACTGAGCAGTTCCGCCTCATTTCTGTCTCTGGTGAGCACTGTTAGCAGAGATAGCAAGCCCTTTCGCCTTCCTGAAAAGCCCCATCTGGCTGCTCAGCCCTTGGTGTGGGAGTGGGGAGAACCAGCTGATGGCCAGACACCGAAAATTTCCCTACTGGAAAAGCATTCACCTTGTCACCCAGCTCCCATTTCTCAGGGTTTGTCAGGGTCTCTGTTCAGGTTACAGCTCCTGATATTAAAACATGCTCTAGGGTTTTGTTCTCTTCCTCTCTAATCCACCCAAATTACTAATTCCATCAGCAGTGCATCCAGCAAAAGCCCCTAGGGCAGCTCAGCCTAAAGCTTGATAACTGGATGCATGGCACAATTAAAATTCATTGGCTTAAAAAAATAATAAAGCTTCCCTGAGTGGCTGAGCAATTTTCCTGTGTTAGAAAAGGCGGAGGAGACTACACAGCTGCTAGCACACGAGAATGATGACACTTGCCTTTTCATACTGGGGAGAGCAGCCTGGAGGGTGGCTGAGCCCAGCTCAGACGACCAGTGTTAAAAGTGGATTGTGAGAAATCGCGACACTTGCAGGTACCAGCCATTCCAGTGTGCAGTCCAGAGCATGAGCTTGTCCCCTAACTGGAAGAAGTTGATGTCGGCATCCCCATGGGTCCTGACGCCTCATTGCTGGGGGCCAAGGTGGAGGTGCTGTGGCTGGTTCCTGGCCTCAGAGAGCCCAGCAGTTTTTATGCTGAGCCTCGCAGCGCCCCACGTTCTCTATACTCAAATAGCTATGTGCCTCCTTGTCACAAAAGAAAAGCACACTCTTCCAGATTCTGTCTTTCATTTCTTAACCATGCAGTGCAAAACCAGCGATTCAGTAAACATTTTCATTTCTCTATGCTGGGAGGTGGGAATCCAATTTACAGTTTAATCTTCTGCACGCTGAGAGGGGCTGTCAAAGACCCAACAAGGGGGATGTCACTTTAGCAGTAGGGGTTCAAGCCTGCTGCCTCTTTAAAGCTTTATTCTTTCTAAGTAGCCAACATGGGAAAATTCTGGAAAGAGTATAACCAGGATACTAAGTCTATTTTGTAAGCACGTAGAAGCCTTGAAGCCCCTTTTCCTCCTTCTGCTTAAAGTGGAGTTTAGACTGCAGCTCCTCAGTGCTTTTGGACATGTTTACAACCCTGTGTCCTGTTTCAGGTTGAAAGGGGAAGACCCATCTGAATTAGTGACGACCGTGGACAAGGTGGTCTGCTTGGAATCTGCCCGCCCCCGAATGGGTGTGAGCTGCCGGCTGAGCCGTGCCCTGCTCACAGCCGTCACCCATGTGCTCATCTTCTTCTGGTGTAAGTCCTCTTACCTCCATTCACCATCGGGACTGCTTGCACATAGCACCTCCTGGAAGCCCAGCTCATAACACTCCTAGGCATGAGTGATGCGTTACAGAAACCCAGCTCTTGGAGTTCATTTCTATCTAGTGAACCTGAGTTCTGTCATAAAACAGAGGACATGAACAAGTCAGCCTCTGCTCTGAATCGTCTTTACCTATGGAGATTGGTGGCAGGAGCATGAGGATGACTAGAAAATGTCCTTGACTCAGCGTCGGGGACTATCCGCATTTCTAAGAGGAAGCCTAGCCCAGGCTGGAGGTGGGCATTGCCACTTCCAGGACCCCAGAGTGCAGACCGCTTCGATGGGGAGATACAGCAGGAGCGTGGCTTAATTTTACTCCCTGAACAATGTAAATATCTCCTGGAGAGCTACAGATACCTGATAAAAGCAGGAAGGACCCAGAGTGCTGAACTAAAAAGCAGAGCATAGGCCTTGTCTCCCAACAGCAGAGCTGCCTTTGAGCAGAGACCTCGGGGTGTCTCTTAAGGCAAAGGGCCACATCACAGAACCTGCTGGCTCTGCCAAGATAGTCGATTTACAAATCACAGGCATCTGGGTGTGCACACAGTTCCCTCACCCACACCATCAGGCACAGACATCATTATTGGCAGCAGCATCTCAGAATACAAAGGGCCCAGCATGTATATATGTATGAGACCCTGCGTTCTCGTTCACAAGGGAGGAAATGAAAGCCCCAGAATGAGGTTGGGAGAAGCCGAGTTCTGGACAGCTGGAGTTGCCTCTGTGGTGACAGCTGGCTAGGAGGAAGGTGATCACTTAATAGCCTGTCCTCCCTTTGCATTTCTTTGTTTCCTGCATGCTAGCCGTGGGCCGGATGCATAGTAGATATTTAGAACACAGTGGCAGCTTACCCACAGCCTCCAGCACAGCGACTTGCCCATAGTGAGACCCAGTGAGTGGCTGAACAGCCAGAAGTGATGCGAGTAATTAATGATGCTTTGTTCCTGCACAGGCTTGGCCTTTTTGTGGGGACTACTGATCCTCCTGAAGTATCGGTGGCGCAAGTTGGAAGAGGAGGAGCAGGCCATGTATGAGATGGTGAAGAAGATCATAGGTGTGTGGCCCCTGGGAAAAGGGCTGCTGGCCGCTGTCACAAGGTCCTCGCCCTAAACAATATCCTCTGTCCTGCAGATGTTGTCCAGGACCATTACGTGGACTGGGAGCAGGACATGGAGCGTTACCCATACGTGGGCATCCTGCATGTGCGTGATACCCTGATCCCTCCACAGAGCCGGTGAGTCCTGAGTCTGACCCCACCAAGTGCCACAGAAGGAGGCTCATAGCCTCGAATCAGGCAATCCCCCAGGATCATAGGTGGGGGCGCTGTCCATACCTCCTGCCCCTCCTCCAGCATTCGGCTCTTTGTGGCAGAATGCGGACAGGTATAGAAGCAGGTCCCACTCCTCTGTAGACATGGCAGCACCATCAGCATTGATATTGATTGGGGTGCTTTGGGTAGCAAATATTAGAACCACTCCCCTCCCGCAGTGGCTTAAGCAGGAAAGGGCCTGATGGGTTTCTATGAGCGGAAGTCGAGTCATGTAGGCTCCAGACAAAGGACAGTCAGGTCTCTGGCTCCATTTCTCTGTGATTCTCATGGTCCTACCCTCCTTGGATGTTCTTAGCTGGCTGGTCACAAGATGGTGGCCAGCAGCATCTGCCTTGTCACAGCCAGCAGGAGGGGGAAGTGGGCAAGAGAAAACCTCAGAAGCCACCAGTGACACACTTCTTGAGGCTCTGCTGGCTAGAATTGGTTACTCACCTTCTTGAATCAGTCACTGGCAAGGAAGAAATTGATTTTCAAACATTTTTAATTATGACCCACAGTCAGAAACACACGTTACCTAAAATATCATGGTCCAGTTCACACACGCACACACGCACACATGTGTATACATGTAAGTTGAAAGCAAAGTTTCACAGCAGCCAAGAGTCAGCGTCCAGGGTGCACAGCTTCATGGGAAGGGATGGCAGGCCTAGCATGTTCAACTGCAGGGCCACCTTCTACATGGGCTGCAGATGCTGGATAGATCCCTGAAAGAACCAGGGGTGGGTAGAGTTGGGGACCCAAGTCCCAGGAGGCAGTCCACAGGGCCTACCACAGTGTTTGCGGGCCCCTCACAGCAGATTTCACTGCAGTCTGTGGCCGTTTGCCATCATCTCTCAGATGGTCAAGCAGTCAAACTTGCCGAGTGTTCACTATCACCTGGGCACTGCTCTGAGCCCTCCACAGATGCAGACTCACTTAACCTTCACCATGGCCCCATTTTACAGATGAGGAAATGAGGCACAGGAGGTTAAGAGACTTGCTCAGAGCCCCACAGTTGGCGTTTCTGTGCTCCCTGCCAGGCTCTATGGTCCAGGTCGCCCCTTTCTGTGCAACCCAAGAAAAATTAAAAGAGTAGAAAGAATATTTAAGGACCCTTTTAAATGTGAAGATGCTTAATAACTGTCATGCCCACCCCACTCCCTGGGAAGGTACAGGCAGGAAGCTTAGAGCAGACTGACTGAGTTGTGGTGATTGGGCCTGCTGTTGATCCCCAGTGTAAGGCAGCCACTTGGCTCTCCAGCTTCCCCACTGAGAGGCCACTTGTTGTATTCAGACTCCCACCTAATTCTTGCTAGGAGTCATCATGGGACCGGTTAACGACCTCTCTGAGCCAGTTTCCTCATCCATAAAACAGAGATAATATTACCACCTTGCCAGAGGGCTGTGGTGAAAAGAGACTGTCATTCACTTATTCACTCAACAAGCATTTGTTGCCTACCTGATATATGCCACACTATCTTGGGTCATGTGGAGATAGTGGGGAGTGAAAGAAGCAAATTCTCTGCCTGTTGGAGCATTATTTCTAAAGAGGAAGATACAGGAAAAGATGAATAAGGAAAATGTATACTATTAAGTAGTGACAAGTTTTAAGGAAAAGGGAAGAAGGGTGTCAGGGAGATGGCCTCACAGCTCACTAAGTCGTTGCCTAGCACTTGATCACTCATCAGAGGGCAGCTGTTATTGCTTGGGCTTTAACTATATGCAACACATTCACTTAAATGAGAAGGCATTGCAGCTTGTCACAGGGCTGAACCACCGCTCCTTGGCTCCTTTGCATCAGCAGAGACTGCAGGCAGCCACCCCACGGGGTCTAAGTGACCTCAGGAGGCCCATGCCCTGCCACTCTCAGACACTTGATTCATCTCCAAGCTGCCCCGTCAGTGCAGCCGAGCTCTGGACTCATAAGGACTCATGAGCTCCTGCCAGCCCTGCATCGGCACACTCAGATGCGCCCCGTGGATAAAGGCCTGCTTCTGAGAGACACAGGGATGTGAAGAGCTTGTGTAGTAAGGAAAGGAAGCTGAGGAGAACAGCTGCTTGGCCACTTGTTCATTACCTATTTATAGGCAGCCTGAGAAGGATGGCCCCCACACAGCGCCACTTCCTCTGCCTCAGGGCCTAGCCTGAGGGGCTCAGTCTCCAGGCATGTGCGGCTTCAGTCTAGCCAAGTAGGAGCTGTGAAACAGCTATGGGATTTGGTTAGTGGCAGGACCCAGCCCCCAGAGAAGCAAGCCTCAATACCCCCTCTGCCTCCTGACTCAGGCCACCTCAGGAGCTTTTCTCCCTTTGCCCTCCCCCAGGTTGAGCCTTCCTGCTCCCAGTCATACACACGTTCACTCTCCGCATGTGGGTTCATGGAGGCATGGGTTCATGGAGTGCTGGTCTGCAGTGCTGACAAAACACAGGGGCTCATCAAAGGGTAGCCATCCAAGAAACCCTCCCTGACTGCCCTGGAGTCTTCCCATCTACTCTGGAGGGGAAGAGGAAATAAAAGGCTCTCTGAGGGGATGTAGGGCCATGATGATCCAGCAGAGCAGGGAGGCCTCATCTACTGTCCTGAGGCCCAAGGCCAGTGAGCTGGGAAGGGGCCTTACCTGGTAGCTCTAGTTCCAGGAGCGGCTCTAGTTTCTTAGCCTGCCCAGTTAGAAGCTTAGCTCATCCTCATCCCCTGAAGTGCTGTGGCATTTGGACTCAACAGCCCGGCAAACACTCTTTAATTAGCCCACATGAGGCATTAAGATGCAGGCAGCACTGGTTGAGGGCCGCCTGACCAGGCTGCTGCAGCAACAGGCCCGGTGAGCACAGCCCCTTCCCACTTGGACACCAGGGCTGCTCTGGCGACTTCTGGCGCCTTTCAGCTTTCTTTAATTGAATGCTTTTATAGCAGAAAATACTGAGGAATCATTCCTCCAGGGCCCAAGAAATGTCTCCCCTCTGCAGGAGTCCTGTCAGTACGTTGTGGCTGTTACTCTCATAAATAATTCTGCGTGGGATCTTGGAGCTTTGTCCCGCTTTATACAGAGGGCATCCACAGACCAGCTGGCCTCCCTTGACAGTGTGTCCACTGAGCCTGGCCCCTCTCTTTGCAGGAGGCGCATGAAGCGGGTCTGGGACCGGGCTGTGGAGTTTCTGGCCTCTAACGAATCCCGGATCCAGACAGAGTCCCACCGCGTGGCTGGAGAAGATATGCTGGTGTGGAGATGGACTAAGCCCTCTTCCTTCTCTGACTCTGAGCGATAAACCCGGTTGGGGCCTGTTCCCAGTCACCCTGTCCCAGCCAGTCCCCTCAGGGGTTCGAGAGGGCCACCAGACCTGCCGGTGCTGAATTCACACTTGCCTTGACTTTCACCTCCTCCTAACCCTGGTTCCAAAGGTCTCTAAGACTCTTGAGAGATTAGCTCAGTAGGAAAGTGAGCTTTCTTGAAGGGCGGAGGAGAGAAGCCAGAGAAGCCAGGTGGGTAGCTTGTCTTCTGTATTGGTCCAACCCCCTCTGCCCTGTTTTGCTGGCAGAAAGGGGAAGAAGAGTTTGTTTTTCACGAATAGAAAAGATTAAAGAGCAGCAGCTGTGAAATCCTGCAGAGCAAGTGTGAGGTTGGTTGGGCTGGAGCTCTTCCACTGCCAGCAAGGAATGCTCAGCAGGGAGGTAGCATCTGCCTGTGGGAGGTGGGTCAGTATGGAGGGCTGGGGCAGCAGGGGTTGGGGAGCAGCTTGTCCATGTGCCTTCAAGGGAATGTTACCTGGGAGCTCAAAGGTGAGGGGAGAAAGCCTGTCCTTCATCCGGATGAGGCCCCTTTTATCCTGAAGGGAGAAGGTGCTAGAAATTAGAACTATAGGAGAATTAACTAGAAATGCCTGGCTCTGGCACTTAGGCCTTCATATCAGGAAATGCAAAGCTGCTGGTGTAGCCTCCTGGGAAGAACCTGGAGTAGTCACAGGGCCTGAGAGCAGAGAGGAGTGCTGAGGCTGCCACCAGCCACCATCTCCATCCACAGCCTCATTGAGGCAGCCTCCCAGGGGTGAACCTCTTCAGTGGTGCTTTTTGCAGAAGAGGTGGTTTTAGACCAGACCTGCGGCCAGGGCACTGCATCTGGCTGAGAGTGCCAGAGTGCCGATACCAGGACCTAGGGAGTCTCGCACTTCAAGTGTGGGACATTACCTCGTTTACAGCGACCACAGCTTTCTGCTCCTGGCTGTTTAACCAGAACTTCCTGCACCTGAGTTTCTGTGTGCAGATGAGGCGCGGTGGCTGCACTGCTGCCCCCTGCTGGCTTCTGGAGAGAGCCTGCTCTGCCTCAGACCTTCACAGCTCTGCCAGCTCCTCAGCTGGCCTGTGGGAATGCTTATTAAGTGCAGGAGCCTCTCCAACGGAGTCTCATCCCCATATAGTCTGTAGCAGGCAGGAGAGGGGGCAAACGGGAGATGCCACAGCTGCCTCCAAAAGGCATTAGCCACCCCTTTCTGGTCTTACTGGTATTTTTTTGTTTTCTTAATAAATTTCCCGTCTCCCTTATTTGAGCAATACTCTCTCATTTCCTCTGATGCTGGAATCTGAGCACCTGCCCCAGGACAAAGAAATGGTCTCATAATCAGGCTCCAGCCGGAGAATAAGAAATGCAACAGGCTTCACTATCAGGGTTGAAACTTGGATAAATAAACGATTTATTAAAAATGGATGTGCTTCTCATCCGTGGCTCTTTTCCCCCAAAGCCATATATAAGGAATGGCAATGTGCGGAGTTATTAGCACCGGCACCGGGAGAGGTCACCCGGAAGAGGCGGCTGGACAGGCTGAGCAGGGTCCCTGCGCCTTCCTGCATTTGGGCTCAGCCTCAGTGATGGGGTCCTTGGGCAACCTGCATAACGTTGCAGAGCCTCAGTTTTCTAACACGGCGTGACAACCCTTCAGGGTGAACTTACAAGAGACCCGCCTGGTCCCAGTGGGTGGCAAGAAGTGGGGGTCAATAAAGCCACTTTTCTCAAGGCCCCAGTTCTATTTCCCCTCAAGGCCCCAGGTACCCTGTGAGACAGGAAAAAAGTAATGTGAGGTTGGATGCAGCTGCTCTGCAGCTAATGGTGTCCCCTGAGGTGGCAGGAGGTTGATGCAGGCAGCATTCCCTGCCCCTCACCACTGGAACACCAGTGCTGCCTGGGGGACCGCACCTGCAGGGGTGGGCCCAACTGCAGGGCAGAAGTAGTGTGCTTCAGGGGTCCTATTGATATCTCCATCAGCATCACCTCTACCCTGGGAGTGCAGCAGATGTGGGGTGAAAGCTGCAGGTGTTTGGGGTTGGTGCTGAGATCCAGAGGGACCTTTCTCAGCCTGGGAGCTGTGAGACCTCCCACTGCCTTGCTAACCACATCCACACTGGTCCCACTTGTGGGTAGTGACTGGCATGTGCGTATTCTGTCCTCCCATCAACTGGAAACTTGGTGGGTAAATTGATAATCAAAGGGCCCAGAAACAACAACCCAGAAAAAAAAGAGCCTGTCTCCCTTTCCTGGTTTTCAGTGGAAGATTTTTCCTCCACCGCATTTTGTCTTAAGCTGGGAAGGGAGCTAATGCAGGGCTCTATTTCTGTGAAGCTGTTTGGAGAGCAGGAGCGAGATCAAAATAAACGGAATAACAAAAGGCTCCTGCCAGCCCGGCCCTTCCTTTATGGTACACAGAGTGTTGGCCACAAAGGCCCAGAGGTGCGTCCTCAGTGCTGCAGACGGCTCAGATCCAGCTCTGCAGCCTGTCTGGGCTTTGAAGGGCCATGTCTCCCTTTTAAGTAGCTCTTATTTCACAAGGGACAGGGCTCGTGGTGGGATCTGCCTGAGGCAGAGTCCTAGGGCATCTTTGGATTAGAGCCCTTGAGAAGATTCCTTTCCTCCGCCCAGTCCCTTCTGAGTGCTCCCCAGGTCATAGACCTGTCTTTCCTCAGTGACAAACAGCTTCTAGTCTTGGTGGGCACCCATGAGGAAGCTTGGGGGTGAGGGAGGAAGAGGCTCTACCCACAAATCTCAGCCATGGATGTCTACCCAGGAGCTCCAGGCCACCTTCCAGAGTCTCTGCTCAGGAAAAAGGTAAACACAGCCATTCGTCACTGACTTATCATAAGAACTGCTGTAGCAGCTGTTACCCCTTAATTAATACACCATTGACTTTGAGCCTAAAAAAAAAAATCTCTTCATTGAGGCGTGTGTGGACTCACATTCATTATCCTGTCAGCCCCTTCCCCAAAGGGAAGGAGTAGGGAGCAGATTATGCTGTAAGTTTACCCGACTCTTCTAAAACAGACCAGCTTCTCCACCCTGTCCCCAGAGAGAGCTCTTGAGTCAGAGAGAATCTGGCCAAAGGGTCCCACAATGCACCAGGGAAAAGAGAGGCAGAGGGGATTGGCGGGGGGGCACATGCTGCCTGGTACTGCCATGTTTCCCCAGGGTCGGGGTGGGGGAAGGAGGATGGTGGCATTGCGCTGGAATAATGTGGAGCTGGGGACTCAGCATCCTCAGGACTGGCTCTGCCCTTAATTGGCTGGGACCTCAGGCTAATCACTTTATCCTTACAGCAAGGGAAATTATAAAGACAGAAATGATAAAATTAGCCAACACAAGATAGCATTACAGCATGCCCATAGTGAGATATAGCCTACTGAATTCTTACAGCCACCACATGGGGTAGATGTGTTGTTGTCCCCTTTATAGAGGGGGAAACTGAGCAACAGGGAGGTCAGGTAGGTGGTGGAGCCAGGGTTTGAACCCAGACAGCTAAGCTCCAGAGCCTGTGTTCTCAGCCCTGCTCTCTTACCTTCTCCAAAGAAAGAAAGAAAGGGAAGCCACTCTCAGGTTTGTTGTGCTGCTGTGGTTTTGCTGGAATGGAATAAAACCACCTTGGTCTTGAGGAAGAGCCAGGACTTCATAGGTTCTGGGAGGCTCCTCTCACCTGTCTCCACCAACTCTGCTCAAGCCATATCTTGCTATCGTTGCCCTCACCAGGCCCGCGCCTGCCTCCGAGCCTCTGCACTTGCTATTCCATCCACAGTGCTGTTCCCCCATCTCCCTGCTCTTCTCGGACCATATCCCCTCTTGGAGCTGGAGCTGCACCTGACCCCTCACAGCCTCTAGGGCCCAGCCCTCCTTTATTTCTCTCCTAACACCAGATGTGCTACATATTTCACTTACTTACTTGTACCTCCCCACTGCAGGGTACCAGCTTGCTACCCATCTCCTGAAGGGTCCATACGCCCTCCCCAGAGAAACACTGGCCATAAGGGGAATTGGGCTGGACTGTCTGAGATAGGGCGGAGCTCTCAGGCAAAGAAACAGGGAGGGACCAGCCTTCCCAGACCAGAGGGTATGTGTTTGCTGGGTTTCCTCACTTGAGACACTGGAAGACCCGCCAGACCACAGTAGGAGCCGTGGTGAAGATGGTCTGGAAGCCAGGCCTCCTCCCCTCTGCCAGACACCAATCTAGATAAGCCCCAGGCTTTGTGTAAGGCACTGGTCAGGGGCAGGGGCCTTCGTCTGAAATGCGACTTCTCTGCAGCCCTGGTGAAGTGAGTGAAGGCTCAGAGCAGAGTTCACGTGATATCTAAAGAAAGGGACAGGGTATGGGCCACTCCATGGCCAAGACCCCTGTGAAGTCAAGGGTGATCCTCTCGACCTCGTGGGCATGTGGTGAGCCCAGTAAATCCCGGAAGGGCTGCCGTCCTCGGGGCCAGCACTGAGGTGCCCGGCCAGGCAGATGAGGAAGAAGAGTCTGGAGCAGGGTCTTGGGAGCGGAAAAGAACTGAAGAGGCTCTGAGAAGAAAGGGTAGAGAGGTATGACTGCAGATTACAGCCCAATTTCTAAGCTGCTTCTGTTTAGTGAGGAGATGGGAAAGTACAGTAATTTTCTTCAATGAAATAGGCAACAGAATTCCCTTTGCCTCATTCCCCTTGCAATTAAGCCCTTCTCTGCAAATGAAGTGATTTGGTTTTCATAGGGACTAATTTAAGCACACTGGAAGGGCCGCTGAACTTTTTGATTGTAAACACCAGCACGTGCAACACAAAATCCCACACAGCAATGCCAGGCTAGGGAGGTGGGCCTGCTGTGGAGCGGTGCTTCGATGGGTGAGATTGGAGTCCCAGGTTGGGAATCCGGCTCTGCCCCTCATTCCAGGTGTGGACTCCTCTTTGGTTGACTCTCTTGCCCTCTCCAGACTCCCACATCCCAAGTGTGGAGTCTGGCTCCCTAGGAGGAAGTTTCAGAAGGCTCTGGCACATTTGGTGATGGCCATGAGTTAAAGATGCCACGCTTCTGCCCCTCCTTTCATTAAAAGGTGCAGTCTATTTCCTCTCCTTTGAAGCTAGGCTGACCCTGTGACTATTGTAACCAATAAAATGTGGCCAGAGGGATACTGGCGATTTCCAGTCCAGGGTCCTGGAGGCCTTGTCACTTCCGCTTTCACCCTTTTGGGCCTGGAGCCACCAGGTAAAGAGGAAACAGTTGCCCTGCTGGAGAGACCTTGTGGGGAGACAGATGCCCACCAGCCCCCAGCTGTTCCAGCATCCTCACTGGCACACCAGAGGTGTGAGTGAAGCCACTTGTACCGGCACCATGTGAACAGAGATAAGCTGTTCCTACCTAGCCCTGCTCAGATGGCAGAATCATGAGTAAATACACAGTTCTTGTCTTAAGCCACTAAGTCCATATTGTTATTATAACTTTTTAATTTGAAATAGTTTATGACTCACAAAAGATTCAAAAATAGTACAGAGATTTCTCGTGTACACTTCACCCAGCTCCTGCCAATGACAATATCCCACATAACCATGGAATATTGTCAAAACCAGGAGATCGACCTTGATACGATATTAACTCAGGCACAGATCTTATTTAGGTTTTACCAATTTTACATGCACTTCATGATGTGTGTGTGCGTGTGCAACGCACATATGTGTAGTTCTATGAAATTTTATCACACAAAGCCACCAAGTTTCGGGGTGGTCTGTTACTCATAATAGATGACTGATGTAGGTATGGATGAGATCCCCAGGTGTGTGTATTACTCAGCATTCCGCAGTTGAAAGTGACAGAAATGCAGTTCAGACAAACTTCAGCACAAGGTGGACTGCATTGGTTCACATAAATCAATGAACTGAGAGACAGGAGCGGGCAGGCCCCAGAGCAGCCCATCTAGGGGCAGGGGAAGCACGAGGGCCTGGGTGCCAGCCACCAGTTCTCATAGGGCTCCTGCACCTGGCTGCCACTGTGCTGAGGACATCCAAAGGAAGAGAAAGAAGAGGAAGCAGGCCCACCTGCAATCCAGTCACTGGGGACAGAGTAGGTCAGTCAGAACTGAATCCAGGCCTCCCTTAGTCAGAGCACATCTGTACTGAAGATAGGAGGCGGGAGGAGCACCTCTCAAAGGAAGGGGTAGAGTGCTGAAATGGGAAGAAAATATGTGTACCGTGGGCAAGAGAGAAACGAGGGCCAACCCCTGAGCACACGGGCTCCAGGGCAGGAAGTGGAAGAACATTCTGCACTGGACTCAGAGACAAGCATCTGAGTGGGGTGCTGGGGACTCAGTGGACCGGAGGGACAGGGACAGCTTATATGCAGAGCAGTCACTGAGGCTACTTGCCCAAACTCCTGGTTAGATTTCCCCACTCCCGTTGAAACTGGGCATGGCCTTATAACTGGCCTT